TTCATTCTTCATCTACATTCGTCATCTTCATTCTTTACCTAAATTCTTCATCTTCGTATATTGATCCATAGTTCCATACGACCTGTACGATTCTAGCCCTAGCTCTCCCCTCCTTCCCTCCATCAGTAGCAAGCCGATCACCGTACACGAAGGCCTCAGACCTGTCCGATTCTAACCCTAAGACCTCAGACCTCATATATGTCCGATTCACGCCGGTCGCCGTACACGAAGACCTTAGACCTGTCCGATTCACGCCGGTCTTCAGTTCATTCTTCGAACATTCATGACTCACAAGTCACACCTGTCTTCACTCTTTGAACAATCACGACTCTCCATCATCTCCGTCTTCGAATCTCCTTGCAGTCAATAGTCATCGACTCATCTTCGTCTTCGCAATCACGCTGGTCTTCATTCACTAATAAGGTACTGAATCATCTCAATTCTCACATACGATACGACCAAATAAAATATATAACAAGTAGTATATCAATTTGGTTGAATAACATTGTTCACTCACTCCATTTATTGATTTGTTGAACATCCTAGAATTTAACACAGTGAACATTATATTTTTTTTCCAAATCCAGTGAACATTATATTATTATGAAACACATATGCCCTAGATATTTTTCTCTAGTTTTCTTAATTGCTTGGGGTAGTTTTAGATTTCATTTCTTGCAATCAACTATGAACCTTACTATTAATTTGTAACTTTATTTGTTGATCAACTGTTTTGTTCATCTCAATGATAATATATGATTACTACAACACGTTGACTTATGGTTGCAGTAGCTTGCAGATGGAGTGGTAGTAAATTTATGTACTATTGCAGTGGTAGTAGTATTTATGGGACAAAAACTGGAAGTACTTGTAATCTGTTCTTAAAGTGTTTCAACCAAGATCATATATGGCATTTCTAGCTTGTAATACTGTATTTGCTAATAAATGCATACTGTTTATGCTTTGACTGCCTCCTAACTTGAGCTGCTAAGACCATCTTCCATTGGTAGACCAAATACCAAATTAAATCATTTTAATGAGATAGCAAATCTTACTCGATAAACATTTATTGGGTAAAAGACGTTTACCAATAACATATTTTAGTGACCGAGAATGATACCTAATAAGGTAAGAAACAGTGATGACTATTACCGATAAATGCTTATCCAATGAGCATTTGATAAAACGCTACTTAATCTTCTTGCGATCAGCTACCATGGATGCATCAATGGACGCAAAATCTTGATCCTTAAGTAAAAACCATTTTTGGCATCATTAATAAAATTAAAAACATCATAAATATATTAGAAATTAAGTATTGATGCTTAAATATTTTGCTGTAAATTTATTAATTGTTACTTATTATATTCTTTTGATAATTTCCAAATCCTAGGTTTAGTAATGGAACATCCTATCGACTTAGATCGTGAAAGTGATGTTGTTGAGCAAAAACAAATGCCACAAGTTGGGGACAAAAGAAAATCAAGTGTTTGGAATTATTACGAAGATGTTAGAGATCAAAACACTGGGAAGGTCGTGAAGACAAAATGTAAATATTGTTCCAAGTTATTGACAGTTAGCACAAAGAATGGTACATCATCTCTATCTAAACATCTTGCTATATGTTCAAAACATCCAGGAAATATGGATAAAAAACAAATGAAAATCAGCACTTTTAAAACAAGTCATAGTGAAGCTACCACAGTTTCTAACTAGGAGTTTGATCAAAATCTTATTAGGCTCGCATTAGCTAAAATGGTTGTTGACGAGCAACCGTTTTCTATTATGGAACGTGATGGATTTAGATATTTTGTAGTGTTTTCGTACCACAATTTTGTGTTCCATCACGATTCACGGTTGCTAGAGATTGTAGTAAACTTTTCCTAAGTGAGAGAGAGAACTTGAGAAATACCTTCAAAAGTCTAAAATCTAAGATTGCTCTCACAATGGATTGTCGGACTTCCATCCCAAATTATAACTACATGTGTTTGACAGCCCACTTTATTGATGCTAGATGGAGATTGCATAAAAGAATTATAAATTTCCGATTGATGGATAGTAAAAAAGGAAAGGAAATTGGAAAAGTAGTTGAATCATGCATTCTTCAATGGGGTATTGAAAATAAGGTTTCTTGTCTCACTGTAGACAATGCAAGTTTGAATGATGTGGCTGTTGCACATCTCAAAGAAAATCTCACCGACAAACTTGGTGGTGAGTTTTTTCATATGAGATGTGCTGCTCATTTATTGAACTTGATTGTTAAAGATGGTTTGAATATGGTTAAGGAATCAATTAATAGCATACGAGGAGTGGTTAGATACGTAAAAAGCTCTCCGGCAAGAGCTAAATTGTTTCACGAGTGTGCTTCAAAATCTAAAATTTCTTGTAAAGGTTCGGTATGTCTTGATGTTCCAACACGATGGAACTCCACTTTTGTTATGTTGGATTTGGCTGTTAAGTTTGAGAAAGAACTCAAAGATGGCTTTCCATCTCAAAAAGATTGGGATAATGCTAAAGCTTTAGCATTATGCTTAAAGCAATTTTATGATGCGACAAAAAGGATTTCGGGCACCTTGTATGTTACGACTAACACACATTTTCATGAAATTTTAGGTGTACTAGCTTCTTTGTTAGAGTGGAAACAAGATGATGATCCCAATATTATTCGTATGGGTGATCAAATGAGAATTTTTTTTGACAAATATTATGGAGATTTTGGGAAAACAAACATTATGGTTTTAGTTGCGGTTGCTCTTGATCCACGATATAAGATGAGGTTTGTGAGGTTTTCTCTAAAAAAAGATTTTTCCTTCGGATGTGATAAAGTGAATGAAATATATGATCAAGTGTATGACGGTTTGAAAAGTTTGTTTGATTATTATGTTAATGCTTCTTCACTATCAAAGGATGATTCTTCTACTTCCGTCTTTATGAATGACAATGATGGCCACAATTTTGTTGGGACAGTAAAGAACAAGCAGATGAGTAAAATTTATGATGAGTTTTATGAAAATGATGTTGGGGATGGTATGGAAAAATCTGAATTGGATGAATATCTTGATGCTCCTCCTGAAAAAATGAATGTTGAATCATTTGAAATTTTGAAGTGGTGGAGTGAAAAATGTAGTACTAGTACATGCAAGGTGTTGGGATTAATGGCATATGACATTTTAGCTATTCCAGTTTCTAGAGTTGCTAGTGAGTCCGCTTTTAGTACATCCAGTCGAGTGGTGGATGAGTGTCGTAGTAATTTGGGTCCGAAGACGGTGGAAGCCTTGGTATGTGCTCAATATCGGTTGAGGGCGTCGACTATATGTATTGACATTGAACAGTTATTGGATGATGTGAAATTATACGAAGAAGGTAATCATGAGATTTCATTTTCTGTTTGCTTGAATATTTTCTTTTTTATGTAATACATATTGAATATCTAATCCAAGTTTTCTTTTTGTATTTATTCCTTTTTCAGAAATTGGACGTAATGATCTTGATGAGGCATTTGGTGGGACTAACTGTTAGGACTGAAAAATCAGTATTAATTGTATTCGTCTTGAAAGATTAATTTTAGTCTATAATTGTAAAGTCAGCGTGTTTGACTTTCTTAGACTAGTTTGACTTTGACTTTGTTAGTTAGGTTGTAGTTAGGTTGACCATATAAATATGGTTTAATCTTTGTAATTAGTAAGARGAGCTTAATTGTAATAATACATTGATAATAGAGGGTTTGACTGAGCTTTACATGCATTGACTTTTCCTCTCAAGGATCTTGATGTTCTTACATGCAATATATGAATCTGCCATCATGATTATGAAGATATTGAAGATTGATCAGTGATTGTGGACACACAATTGGTATCAGAGCTGGAATGCAAGAAATCGAATGAAGAATTTGAAAGATAAGTAATTTTTTTTATTTTCTGAATTTTTTTTGTTTTTCGTGTTCTTCGTGTTCTTGACATTTTTTTAATTTTGATCCGATTTTTCCATAAAATCTTGTGTTTTGATGTTAAAAACAGGATCAAAATGTTCGAAATTGAATTGTGAATCTTTGTTATTCACAAATTTTTGTGATTTGATCAAAATAAATCAAGATTTAATCGGTTTTTAGGTTTTTAAATTTTTTTGTGTTCTTGAATTTTTTTTGTAATCAGTGTTTTTGATCCACTTTGTTGTTAATTTTTTTTGTTTTTTGTGTTTTTAATAGTTTTTGATCTGATTTTATTTTTGTTGTTTGGTTTAATTTTGTTAAACCGTCCACTTTTAAAGCCCAAAGGTTAAGGCCCAACAAGTTCAATTAGTCTTCCTTCCCAGACTTCACGTTCACAACAAGTTCACTTTGTCCGGATTGTTGTTCTAAATCGCAGAAGCTTTGATCGGATTGTTCTCCGGTTGGCTTCAAGGCTTCAATCGATCTCTCGGCTAAGGGTAAACCTCACATAGTTTGATCGGTGTTCTTGAGCGGATTCTTACAAACCTTGAGCGGTTTAAGCTAAACCGCACACTATATCATCGGATTCGCTTTTATCACAGGTAAGTCCAATCTCATGTTTAGGGTTTAATTCTTGAGCGGTTTATACATAATATGAACACCTTTTGTCCGGTGTTCATGTAAACCTGACAACTCTTGTCCGGTGTTCGTGTAAACCGATTACTTCTTGAGCGGACTAGTAAACTAGGACTTGTGCATCGAACTAGATTGAGCGGACTTCTAATCCGCTTAATTCATTTTACCCAGATTCGAATTTGTTTGTTGATTTTTAATTCAATTTGATAAATTGTTCCATATCTTGRCAAGGATCGATTCAATTTTGACAGTTTCAATCTGGATTYTTAATTGTTCATCAAGTTTGGTCTGTATTCTAGTTTCAAGCCACCCCTTCTGTTTTGCATTATTGTTGTTTGCAGCTACTGTTAATTTGAGTGTTGAAGTTGCACATTGTGTATGTTGCTGCTAGTATTGGAGCCTTTTGATTAAACTTAGTGTTGATCTTTGTTTAAATTGCTTGATATCAGATTTGCRTAGATCTCAGTCTTGGTTTGAATTACTCAACAGCTCAAGGGTTATGTGTCTTATCTAAACCTTTGTTTGTTTGAGTTCATAACTTTGATTCATCATTCACCATCAGATTGATTTTGACTGTCTTTATGAAGTAGCTTTATGTATTCCTTTGAATTTGAGACCATCAACAGGCTGGATTTTGAATCTGTCAAACTGCTGTTTGCATTGGTTCAAAGGAATGAGGATTTGAAGCCTGTTGGATCTTGTTTTGATTAAAGTGAAGCTGAAAGTTCTGTTTACAGCTGTATTGAACAGATAACCAATGTTTTCACTAATGTTTAAATGGTCAAGTTTGATTTGAATGATTGAAGATCCATAACAGTTTGTGGTTTTAAGGTCTAAAATAGCAGCAGTTTTAGTGAACTGTGTTAAACAGGTTTTAAGCAAATTTGATTGGATTGTTGTTTTTGAGTTGCTGTTTCTTTGAGGATTTGAAGACTGCAGCAGGGACTGTGTTTGTATTGTTGAATTATTGTTTAGTCAGATCAAGAATAGCAACTATCTTGACAGCAGGTTCACACAGCAACAGCAGCAGCTTATCAGAGAAGTCTGAAGAGTTTTGGAACAACGATATTAGAAGCAGCAACATCTTTTGTTTAGGCAGCAGCAGTGTTGGTTCAAAAAGAAAGAAACAGCATATTTGATTTGTTCTAGCACTGCATATTATTTGACAGCTTCATTTTGTGTTATTGACAGCAACTTAATCATTTTTGACAGCATATTTCTGTTTTCACAGCAAAGAACAGCAGCAGCAAATTTTTGACAGCATATTTCTGTTTTGACAGCAACTAGATTTTGACAGCAACTTCATTTTGACAGCAACTTTCATTTTGACAGCTTCATTTTTTGCTTTGACAGCAACTAAGCAGTAGCAACAGCAGTAGCTCCACATCAAGTTTATCACAGCAGTTCAGCAGATTGCAAAACAGCAACAATAGCAAAGCAGCTCAGTTTGGAACAACAGCCCATGAACCAGATTGAAACTGCAGCTACACAGCTTGCTTGATAGACTTGATCAACTAGCTTGCTATTTCATTTGTAAAAATAGTCATCAACAAAAGCAAAGTGTGCAGTTTTAGTTTAGACAATGAGCAACAAAGCTTGAGCGATTTTGACTGTATAAGGAACTAGTGTTGATCATTCTTGAAGTTGTTTTGACCAGATTAGTAGTTGGTTGTTGAATGGACTGGACTCTATACTTTAATTACATAGGTTGAGCGGTTTAAATTTCTGTACATCTTGCATTTAACTCATTTTCTGTGGCAGGCTATGAAGACTGCTAGAGTGTGCTTCCTGTCATAACAGGAGGTTTAAAAGATCGTTGTGCTTGCTGACATAACAGGTGGTTTAGTGCCTGCTGTCATAACAGCAACAAGACTGCTACTATTACATATACAGGTTCTGAGTTTTGTAAAACAGCAGCCCAGGTTTAACCGCAGCAGGTTCACCACAACTTCACAGCAGGTTTGAACCAGCAGTGTGTAGGACTAAACAGCAGCTCCACAGCTCTACAGGTCTTGACAACAGTTTTGAATTTGAAGCATATCAGAACAAGTCACCGCAGCTCGTGTGAAGCAACTGATAAGCGGAGCATATTCGTGGATTTTTTAATACACTTCAGAGAGCAGATAGATCATTTAAAAAAAAAAGTGTAATATCTGTATTGTAAAGCATTGATACTGTGTGTTTTGGGCTTAGACTCAGATTTTTGGACTTGGTTTATTGCTTTAGACTGTTTTTAGTTTCTTTTTCGTTTGTGTTTAGATTTTGGTTTGGATCATTGTATATTTGTTTGTATGTGAGTTTTTCAGTGTTTGTGTTTTTCTGTTCTTTTTGAGCTTAACTATTCATATTTCTTTTATCTGATTTCACTGCATAGATTCTTAACTGATCAATTTTTCTTGTTTAAATGGCAGATATTGTAAAAGTGTTGAGAGAGAAGATTGCTGAGTCAGAAAAGAGTCTTGTAACTCTTAAAGAGCGTTACCAAAATTTATACCTTAAAAATTGTGCTAATGAGGATATTATAAACAACTTAAAGAAAACTCATAAAAATGAGTGTG